TAAAGAGTTGTCGCAAATTTTCACGATTTTCTTGAGAAAATTTCTACTTCAATAAGTATTTGGCCAAAAGGCACAGAATCTGACACCATTGATTTTTCAGTTTCCAAATAAAATTCTATTTAATTTAGACATCCCCCCCCCTCTTTAAGCACATAAAATAAGGTTTCCCCACCCCCCATCCTCTGGATTCCCCCTCTTGATAAATATTGCGCAGTCTAAATATGACAATAGAACACTGCAGTATAGTGGTAGTCATGACCACGGAGAAAAGTTCAACATCCGCCTACAATCTGCTACTTATACACCAGCCGTGTAGCCACAAGCCCACTATCACTCGGAGAACTCTCAAGACTGACACATATTAAGCATGGCAATCAAGACGGTTTTTGCTGTTTTTCTCGTCCTGTCTGGATTTGCAGCTATTTCCATGGGAAGAAACATCCACATTTCCAACTCGAAGCTCACTTTAACAGGCAGTGGAACCTTCAGAACTGGTACGATTCGTATGATAGCAGAAAGAGCTTGGTCAGGATTATCAAAACGTGCGTATGAAGGAATTATTTGTGTTTACGTATTTTACCTAACAAAAGCAAAAACACTCATAACGATATCAGTAAGATTTGCTTAGAAATTGTAAAAAATAGCATCGATGTCAAGTCACAAAAAAGGAATCAGTCTTTATTTACTTTTTCATTCGTTTAGGTTTTGGCAAATATCGCTTGTATGTTTTCGTAACAAGGTGAATTCATTTTCCAATATTTTCCCTTGCAGATCGACGTTTTCCCGTCATCCTTAGCGGAGACCTGATCGCTCTAAAACTCTCCCGTTCTAGTGGTGCCCCACGATGGATGCAGTGTTCTAAGTCATCGTACTGCACCACGTCAACCTGTCCTGGAGGACAAGTCATGCTATCTTCCAAGTTCTCTTCCTGTAGAACCGTTGTTTTCCGCATACGAGCCCTCGGTAGACTTGATGGCGAGGCGGTGGAAAGCGGTGATTACGTTGCTCTTACCTTTCCGTATAATGGTGGGAAGACTTTATATTGCTATAGGTCAACCTCTAAGCCTTGCCGTGCATTGTAAGTACATACAATTTCATACATCTAATTGACAAAAAATAGTTGGCTCAAAAGGTTACATGATCAAAGATACGAGACCTAAAGGGAGAATGGGAAAGCAAATATTATGAGTAAATGAGTGTTTCAATGCCAAAAAATAACTACACTAAAGAAATTAGTTTATGGTCTGCTGAATTACTGAATCACGCACTGATCGGCTAGAGCGGATTTCGTATGAGTGGGACACCGTTACCGCACGGCTACCGCACAGTTACCGGACCCATGGCCTTCACAATTTTGGTAAACCAATGGGGCACTAGAATTTGGTTACAGTACGATTACGGTCACAGTACAGTACCGTCCGTTTCCCACTCATACGAAATCCGCTCTAATATTTTTTTTCGAAGTACACAGTACAAAGAACGTAACAGGCAAGTTAATTAAATTTTAGCGAATTTTAATAATCAGCTTGTGATTATCCTTCTATCCTTTAAGCTTCTAGTAACTTATTTTTGGTATGCGCTATCAATTAATACAAGCAATTATGGATGTAACAACTAATTTGCATGGTTAAAACGCGATTTGAAATCGTTTCATTCTGATATCATACTCAATTTTTTAATTTTGTTCCTTGTATAGGTGGGCACTACCTAAAGTATGGCCAAAGAAAAATTGGTTCGGTTGGGTTCAAGGCAGATTTCAAATTTTCTCTCGAAATGTTAACGATGGTCATCCAATTCAGTATCAAGACATAGTTGGTTTTAAGTATAACTTTCAGTCTAACGGTGCCTGGTTGTACTCTACTTCTAATAAAATGTATGCAAGGAGTTGCAGCTATGGATACTACACTAAAAGTTACTGTGCTAAAATGAATTCAGGATTTGGCTTCCATATATACAAAAAACTTTAGAAAATGGAAAACACAACCCAGGTTATAAAGTTAAGAAAAAAATTGTAATCTCATATCATTTAATTAAATACCTGGATATTGATGAATGAAAATAAACAATAATAAAGTCTAATAGACTATCAATCGAAATATTGTGTACATGTGGAACTTGYAGAAAGCGGTATTGACTTTACATGCGGAAAGTACGTATCTGCACGAAGATATCTACACTACTAGCTAACATTTTTGTGGCTAGTGTCTCGTAAGAAGCTTAAGACGCTATGCTATCGTACTTTAAAGAGGGTGTTTGTATGTATGTAACTCGATTTTAAGTTCGCTAGTTCGCCGATCATTTTTTTTTT